TTAGCAAATAAAATATTACATCTTTGACGCAAATTCAGCATGGTACAGCATTAAGTGAATGCTGTAATGTACCTTAAAAATTACTAACTGCCACTCCTGTTGATGATTAAATGAATGAATGAAGAGGTCATGCAACTTTTCCCTTACGTCTTTTCCATAATTAAATATGGAAATGGAATTTGTGAGGAACTAAAGTATATCAATTCAAACACTAATGGAATGCTTTCCCGTTTGACAGCGCACAGGTAGTTCCCAGCATGGCAGCATTAGCAAATAAGTCAGTGTCATAATTCTCACAAAAATGCGGCTTGAAAATTACACTTCTGAAAAGAATTCTACTGGTTCCCTCAGATATTAAAAAAGTGAGTGAACAGGAGAGAAAAGCTAATTTTACAGCAAACATACCAAATAATTTATAAAGTGAATTTCTACTTACAGATTAAGCTGAAACTTATTGTTTATTGACTGGAGCATCATAGACTTAATTTTAGGACTGCTTTTATGTATGAGCTAGAAAAGATTCCTTCAGCAGCTGCTATTCACAAGTTCAGAGAGTAACTCCAATTACTCTCTAAAAGAATTTTGTTTCTTTTTCTATCATGGTTTTTATTTTTACAATCTAGAGCCCACATAGCATTATGTTAAACAGCAGATGAAAAGGTATAGAGATTTATGAGAATTAACATTATTGCAATATCAGTTTCAGTGTCTGCAAAGAACTTATGCTTTTCTGCAGGAGAAATTGAAGAAAATGAAGCCTCCAGCAAATAAGTTTTACCACCCTATTTTGGGTTACTCTTTGAAATGAAAGACAAGGACTTTACATAATTCCACAATCAGTTCACATTAAACTTTGCTGAATCCTCTTGAATATTAAAAACTATGCCTTTATATAGGGATCTCTATGAATGTTTGTAAAACTATACCTTTATTTAGGGATCTCTATGTATGTATGTAAAAATACATCCATATTTTTACACAACATATTTTAGTCTACATTTTATTCTAAGTATAAAATATATTGATTTAATA